TAGTGTTCGGACAGAGGCGCCGGGATAGAGGAGATCTCATCACGGCTAACAATAACGACCTTAAAGCTAGCATGTATCAGGCAAGAGTAGGGCGGCAAACAATGTGGGCGAAAGTACGAAAGCTAGCATGTATCAGGCAAGAGTAGGGCGGCAAACAATGTGGGCGAAAGTACGCGAAAAATTAATTCGTGAGAAGCAAACCCGGGTGGCTAAGGCAAATAACCGACCCATAGTTTATAGAAAGGGCCGTTAGCGCTGGGAACCATAGTGTATAGACGATTACGCACCGCTTGTACTAAAACAGCCGCGAGGTATGAGGGACCTTATAAAGTCATCACCATACGGGAGAATAACCTATTTACTATCAGGGATGTAAATTACCCGTTTCGGTCACGTACGGTACACCTTGAAGAGCTTCGGGTACCTCAGATCATGCCAGAAAACGAGTCGGACGGCGGCGCCCAGCCTGGACCATCTCAGGGCTAGGAAGTTTTTCTTTTCGTACTTTCCATTTTTTTTATGTTTTTAGCGATATTGAGTAATTTCTGTTAAATAGCATTATACTAGTAGAGTGAAAAATGTTTTTTTTTTTTTGTTTGTTGTTAAAATCCATTGTAGATAGGTTAAGTTATTATATTTTAGGATATCTGTATTTTTTTTTAGGTATAAGTATGTTAAGCAAGTGAATCTGCTACTTAGTGTATTATTATTTTTTCTTCTTCTGCTCTGCTGAAAGTGTTTGAGTTTGTGTTTTATGTTCTATTTTTTTTTTATTATTTTATTTTATTATTATAAGTTCCTCCATACGAAGGAACTGGAGGGAGGGAGTTAGCTGAGTATAAGCCATAAACAATAATAGGAACTATGTTACTAATAAGATTAACAAAGCATTGTAAATGAAAACAAACCATATCTATATATATTGGATAAAGTAGATAATAAAGTCAGTTGCTCACGAACCTGTGTACTGTTACTATGCCCTAAAACCCTTTTTTTTCGATCAGTCTTTCAGTCTAATCGTAAGTTATATATATATATATATATATATATATATATATATATATATATATATATATATATATATATATATATATATAAACATATCAGAAGCCTCTCCCAGAGAAGGTGTAATGGAGTCCAGCTCTAGAAATATAATTCAATTGTAAATATTGAAAATACTAATGGAACAATATAAAATGAAATACCCAGCACTAATAATATGTGGTACTTACTCCTTTTTATCAAATTATTAACATTGTTCTAAAACTTCATGAATGGTTTCATCTTAATGTAACCTACAACTTTTTTAAGTATGAGAGATATATGATAGGAAATGGGACGTTTTCAATCTGAAGATGGGTAAACTTTGGTACTTTTAGTCTAAGGGGCCGTTTTGAAACCTCACTTCTTATCTATCTTATCTAAGTCATGTCATCATGTTACATAACCTCCCTCTTGTTATCCCGCCAAACTTTTGAGTTATTGCATTGTTTGGTTTTCAGTTATTCCCTTATTACGTTCACTTATTAAATTGTTTACTTTTGGCCCATTTGTGTTTATTTTTAGTTTTTGGCCCGTTTGTGTTTATTTTACATTTTGTTTTAGTTTGTGACCCCTTGGTGTTTATTTTTCATGTTTATTTTCGTCATATTATGGAACTTTGTGCGAATTTTTGTGGCGGCAGATTCACAGAGAAGAGGACCCGTTCCTCGCTATTTTAAGTAGCATAAAACAATTTTGCCTTCCAAAATAAATAAGACAAGAGGAAGTGAATAATTAACTTAAAATAATTTGTATATACGTTGTTTATAGTGTTTATATTTTTTCTTTTCTATGTAAATATGTTCTTTTAAATTTGTTATGATGCCGATGTTATGATTATAATTTGTTATGATGTTTGATGTTTTATATGTACATATCTTCTTAAAGTGTTTTTTTATTATTTAATTAATATATTTGCCGTCAAATAAAAGTATTTTTATTGTTATTACATTTGTTTTTGTATCTGTTTACACTTTCAATAATACGAATTTAATACAATAATACAAAGATGTGAAGTAGGAGAAGGCTTATCACTGCATTATGGGAGCTATCAGTGTTCAGGTTATAAACATTGCCGGATAGCAGTCAGTAGCGGCCGCTTAGACTAAAAGTACCTAAACTTTTTCTACTTAACTAGGTACCAAAAATCGACAACTGAAGTGGTTTGGTCACATTTGTCGGATGGATGATGAAAGAGAACCTCGGAAAGTGATGGAAGCTCGACCCACTGAGAGGAATCCGCGAGGCTGACCCAGAATTTCCTATCGGGAGTACATGCAGTGGATTGGAGGGAAGAGAGAAAAAACTCTCCAAGAGATGAGGCAGCTTGGCCAGGACCAAGAGGCGTGGCTGCGTTGGATCGAGGCTTCTCGACGCTAGGAATGGCATCAGAGGTAGGCAAAGAAGAACAAGAAATTGAAGATATGGTGGAAAAGGGAGAAACCAGGCTTAAGCTCCTAAAACGTCTTGAAGGAAAGACATGGGAACCACCCAAGATGTGACGGGCCTTGCATATAAAAACTATGTATGTCCAGTACTGGAATACGGTTCTGAGGTCATATGTACTGCGGTTGATGCATTCCTGAAAAGACTGGACAGCCAGCAGAACAAAGCACTGCTTTTAATTTTGGGTGCACTGCGCTCAACCTCTGTTGCAGCTATGGAACTGCAGACCACAGCAGAATCCCTTTCGAAACAGTGTGATTGAGCTGAAATGTGCCTTCTCAAACGGATGAGAAGAATGAAAAAAATCCCAACTCAATGACTCAAGACACAAGAATCATTCATGCTAAAGGCGAAGGCTTTGCTTGAAGAAAGAGGGCTTGACTGCAAATAAAGGGAACTGTTTATACAGTTCTCAATCCACAATCAGGATGAAAAAGAAACATCTGACTATGATCTAAAAGCAATAGCACTAAAAGATATAGTTCAAAAGTACTCTCCTCAGGATTGGCTTCACATTTATACTGATGGATCAGCTGAATGATTAAAAATGATGGGGCAGGGGTTTATTCGAGGGAGTGCTGCGGTGGTGAGGATGGTACGAATTTCGAAAGTGATATAGCACCCATCCTCCTAAGAACACTGTCTGAAAGGTAAGATCAGAGCACTGCTCTCTTCATCAACTCTCAAGCAGCCATCCTCGCTATGACTAACTGTTTGTCGAGTTCTATCTTGGAGTGCTGATCCCTCCTCTTGCTTCAACCTAACACTCCAAGGCACCAATGTGGTCCTGCAGTGGATTCCGAGCCATTGCCGGATTCCAGGAAATGAGGAAGCAGATAGCATTGCCAAGTTAGTAGCAGAATTGCTTTAACCAGTTCATCCAAAATCTTACGATTCAATTCGACAAATGCTGAGGATGGAGTGAAGGAGGAAATAAGAAAAATACACACAGACAAGGTGGAAGGGAGGTGTAATAAATGTTTGATGTAAAACCCGATTCCAGGTAACCTACCAAGAAGAGGTGCAGTAGCATGATTCTGCCAGGCGACTGGTCACGACTATCTACTAAGTCATCTCCACAAGATAGGCTTGGCTGAGGTTCCTTGGTGTAAACTCTGTAATAAAGGAAGAATGGATGCAGACCACCTAAACACATGTCCTGCTTTACCAGACATAAGAAAACAGATATTTTTAAATGAATATATGAAAAACTCTAATTTATTCCAGGCAGCAAGATGTCGGATGGTCAAATGACCAATGACTTTGGCATAAGAAAAAATAAATAAAATTTATAAAAATAATTTTAAATATTTTTCTTCCACTCATTTTCCATTAAATGTGGTGCTTGTAGCCAGCAGTGTGTGTTCTCATTTGTCCGAACGTCTTCCTTCTGTGTCTCCCTATTAATTCCATGTGGGTGACATATGAGCTTCTTTATCACCCTCTAGGTCTTTTTTTCCATCAATCTCACCTCCATGGTTTTTATCAGATCTCTGTGATGCGAAGTTGGCTGCTAGCAGGTCTAACCATAAGTCATCCAGGTCTTAGCATTATCGTAATTCACTCTTTTTCAAAAATCCTGCAGCTGCTTAATTTTAATCCTTTCGTTGGCTTATGCCCAGGTTTCTTCACAGAAGAGATTATGGTATCGGTGATCAAGAGCATATGATATCTTCCAACTTCCCTTACCATCTCATCATCTGTAAAGTAGCTTCTTATTATTATTTTTTTTTTTTTTTGTGTCTAGAAAGTAGTCTATGTTATTTATGTTTCTTTCCAGTGTTGAGAAGGTCTTGTGGACCTGTTTGTGAGAATAAAAGAAATTGCCAATGCATTAGATCTTTGTTAATGCAGAATTCTAATAGTCGCCTTACATTATCGTTCAGGATTCTCTTATCTCTGTGAGAAATCATTCAACTGTGGACTCTTCTGTGTTCTCTTCCAATCCTTGCATTGAGATCTACCAAGACTATAATATTTTTACTTCTACTTTTTTCTATTACATGAGCTTCTGGGATGAAGCCCTCCAAAATGGAAAAATGATTTTTTTTTTTTCACTTGTTCATATTTGTTACTGTGAGTGATCTAAGTTAAATACTTAAACAATCACAATATGTTCTATTTTTAAAAGTATAATGCATATGCAGCTACTATATATAACCATGTCTTGTGAAATAAAGATTATTTTTTATAGGGCTTCGAGAATCACTTAAACATCATTCCATATAGGTAGTTCATTTCTTTCTCTTTCTTCCAAAGTTATTATTGTTATAAATATTAAAAAAAAAAAAAAAATTTCGAGCTACTAGTGTTGACACCTACTTGTCTTTATTCTGATAAAGACCTATAAGGTGGGATGAAACATTGGTATTGAATAAATAGGTAATAGTTATTTGATGTTTTTTCTGACCTTCTCTTTTTTGGTAAATTAAATTAGTTATTACTACTTATTTCTCAAGTTTAATTCCAACGACATTTAAAAACCTTTTATTGATTTTTTTTGTTCTTTTCAGGTTCTTATTGAAGGGGAAGTATTAAAGCAAGTACCCCAACGTTCACCTGCCATGCCTGAATCGCTTTTTGTTGCTCTTGAAAAAAGTAGAGATCTCATTATCATTTCTGATAATCACAATAAAGTGCAGGTATTTAAATTTTTTTTTGAAACATGCATTTCTATTAAGTTAGATGAACTAATTATTGAAAATTTCTTAATATTTCCTAAATAAGCATAATAACTATATGTGAAAATAGCCTAGAGCACGTTTCCATCAATGAAGGTAATTTAAATTTAAATACCTCATAAACTGAATTTGCACTATATGCAAAACACCAACAATATGTATAAAAATATTAAGAAATCTTCATTTCAAACTCACTACATTTTTTATTTAAGCTTTTTAATATGTTCGCAAAAATTTTAAAACTCCCTCCTAAATATCATAAAAAGAGCTAAATTGATATAAATATATATGAGATATGTTGCTTTGAAGCTATGGTGTTTAAAGTTCTTCCCTTGCTCCTTCATTCCCAAAATAGTATTGCAAATCTAGTAATAATTGTGGGTTAATGGTTGACTGTTGTGAATAATGAAGAGAAGGATGGTTGGGGTGATCAGTCAGAAATAAGAAGGCAAAAATAAATAATAATATTTATTTTAACATTTGCCGACGTTTCGACCTGAAGTTCAGGCCTTTATCAGGGTTAAGAAAAGAACCAGATAACAAGGTATGAGAAATATAAATAATGTGGGTAAAAAAAATTAAAGTAAAATGAAGTGGGTAGAATAATGATAATAGTAAGAACTAAGAGATAAATAATAATAACCGTTACAAAGTGTGGAATGATGAAGTAAATATAATCAAAAAAGGAGAGATAAGTATTAAAACGGTAATCTTAGAATAAAATGTAAAACAGAAAAAAGAAATATGAAGTTATATAAGAAATGGAAATAAATAGTAAAATTAAGACATTGCAAATAGAATAGTTAGATAGAAAATTGAGATATTGTAAAGCATATCAAAATGTGCTGACAACGTATAATAGAATAGATAAGAGTTAAAACAGAGAAAAGGAATGAAAGAAAGGAGAAAAAAAAGAGAAGACTGAAATAAGAAAGAAAAACCAACCTCTTCTAATAGCTAGCTGGAATAGAGTGGAGATATGGTAGTAAGGGAGGGGGGAGATGTATGGTTGCGTCATCTCTGACCGTTAACTGACAAAGTATGAACTAAAGTACCAGAAGCGTAAATAATGGACGAGAGATATATTACTCATAAATATTATGAATAATTAAACGAAAGTTTAATTGAAAGAGGATGGAAATAATCTGGAAAAGAAATAAAACAGAGATAATAAATGTTAAGTAATAATGGAGAATATTTGAAATTAATATATATCATATATGTATATAGATAGATAGATAGATAGATAGATTTTTTTTTTTTTTACACAATACATTTATAGTATTATTAGTCAGCTGGTATCTGACTGTTTTTGGAACAGGAATTGGAATAGGAGGTTTTTGAATGTGTATAGGGAAGGGGCATGTCGAATTTTGATCGGGAGGGAATTCCAAAAGTTGACAGAGCAGGCTATAAAGGAATTTTGGAATGAGGCAGATCTATGAGAAGGGATGTATAGGTCAGAGGGTGAGATCTTGTAGTGAGGGAATGGATTGAGGACTTAAATTGGAGAAGGTTGTAGGCATAAGAAGGACGATGATCGGTAATGATTTGATAAAGGAAGATGCCTAGGAAATATTGTCTTCTTAAGGAGGGGAAGAGCCACCCTAACTCAGTGTAGTGGTGGGAGACACAGGAGCGTCTCGGGGTCCCAATTACAAATCTTACGAAGCTATTCATAAGTCTTTTGAGTCTATCAGAGAGTTCCACCGAGAGGCCATTGTACACCACACAACTGTAGTCAAAGTGGGGAAAGATGAGGGAGGAAACTAGGAGTCTACGGGTATTTTGGGGAAGAAGATGGCGGAAGTGATGGAATAGTTTGAGGGTAGAAATTGCACGGCGGGATATATGAGAGATACAGTGATTCCAGGAAAGGGTTTGATCTATGAGAAAGCCTAAATTTTTAACAAAGGGATAGAAGGTGATAGGGTGGTTGTTTAGATAGAGTGAGGGAAAGTTGGTGTGGGATCTAAGAAGGGGCTTGGAATCAATGAGAATGTCCTGAGTTTTGGCAGCATTTAGCTTTAATCCATTTAAGTTGGCCCAGGCACTAATTCGATCTAAATCTTCTTGAATTTTGACACATGCCATCAATAACTCAGCGGGAGAAAAGGATAAATAGATTTGAGAATCGTCAGTATAAAGGTGGTGGGAACAATGGATGATGGAATCATTTAGGTCATTAATATAAGAGCTGAAAAGAAGAGGAGACATGCTTGAACCCTGTGCAACTCCAGAGGATAAAGGAAGGTAGGCAGATAGAGGTTGATTAGGTATGGAAACTGCTTCGATTCGTTGTGAGAGGAAAGACTGAAACCAAGAGATGGAACTATTGAAGAAGGATAATGATTTTAGTTTGTTGAAAAGGATGGAATGGATAATGGAATCAAAAGCTTTGGAGAAATCAAGAAGTATAAATATGGTTAGTTTTTTGTCATCTATTGCAGTCTGAATATCACTGGTAATTTTAATCAGAGCAGATTGTGTAGAGTAGCCAGGACGGAAGCCAGATTGGAGAGGATCGAGTTGGTTGGATTGTTCAAGGAAGTTGGAAACTTGAGATTGCACTAACCTTTCTAGGGGTTTCGAAAGATTGGAAAGAATTGATATTGGGCGGAAATCTTCGGGAGAGGTTTTTTCCTTTTTGTTTAAAGGAAGGACAATGTCTTTTTTCCAAGAGGTCGGGAATATTGAATTCTGCAGGGAGAAATTGTAGATGAAAAGGAGTGCTGGGAGGATTTCAAGGAGACATAATTTTATTAGTTTGATAGGAATGCCATCTGGGCCTACGGAATTGGAACAGGATTTCATTATAACAGTAATAAGGTCTGTAGGAGAAATGTCGGAAAAATAAAAATGATTATATATATATATATATACATATACACAAAAAAATTAAGGAAGTTGTCAGTGAAAAGAAAAAGGATAAGGCTATGGATGTTTTAATAAATTCAGAATTTGAGAATAGGCTAAGGATAAGTTTTGTTTGTCTGTTTTTAGATTTAATGTCTTTGGTTGGAGCTGGATGTGGAGGGTTTCAGAAATGAGTCGTTTGTCATGGTTAAGGAAGGAGGCAAGGATGGAAGTTTTGTCGAAATCAAATGTATGATTAAGAGAGAGAGAATGTTAAGATAATTTGGAGGCGGTAAAATTACGAGAGGATACAGAATATTTATGTTGGGTGATGCGGTCTTTTAGAAGATTTTTGTTTTCACCAATATAGGATGAAATAGTAATAGATATTCAAATCTAGTAATAGATATTGCATGTTTTTTTTTTATCTTATTGGACACTTCTTGGTCTACTTTCTTAGATTTGTTGAAAACTGTTTATAGGTAATCATAATAATGGTCAGTTTTATATATGTCTGTTTTTTGTTGTTTATAGGAGTTAAACCACCAGGTCATCAATTCCTGAGTTTTATATTTTATAATCCCCATCCGATTTCAATAATTCTACCGTATAAATGAATTCTGTATAATGGATGCAGACAGGCTTGAAACAAGAATTTTGATTGGGGAGGTTCTCCATAATGAACAGCAGGGAGCTAGTGGAGCTCATATTCTGAGATCATTATTCCAATTTATAGTAATTTAGTTCAATTATGTATAATGGGAATCCAGTTTTGAAATAGAGAATAGGTTCTTAACCTTTCATTGTTTGTTATACATATTTGATTGTAACATGGCATCTCTCATTTGGTTAAACTTCAAAGAAAAAGTTTACTTTACTAATGAGTGAAAAAGTTTACTTTACTAATGAGTGAAATATGTGAAAAAGTTTACTTTACTAATGAGTGAAATATGTGAAAAATTTAATATTCACAATTTAACTGCTCAATTAAAAATTTTAAAAACTAAAAATTGGTGTGAAACACGGAAATGGTAATGAAAAAAAAATAATTATCTAAAACATAAGGTTTTGCATAGATTAAATAACATATAAATGATTTTGCCGTGCTCGTGCCATAACCCTCCAGCATCCACAGTAGAGGATTTCAAACAATTATTTTTGTGCTAGACCTGTGAGATAACAATACATTTTTGTGAGCTCTGAGTCTTTTGAACCCCCAATGGGGACCGAAGAAGCTCCCTCACAAAATAAGCTGGCAAGAAATTTTCAAATAGTTATGCTCCAAAAAGTTCAAACGAAAATTATTGATTATGATTTCAGGTTAATAGAAATTTTAATTTTTTTCTTATACAAGTTGATGTCTTATATGTGCACTTTTATTATAAAAAATATATTATTTCCCATAAAATATATTTAAATTGCATATTTAAAATAAAAATATTTTTTAAATGAATTAACGATTTCGTTTTCAGGATATATATGATTTATAAAATACAATTTTAATTTGCTAATTTTTATCATTTTTTACTTCTAATTTCTCTAAATCGGACAAATTTTGATTCCCCGTAGGTTTCCACTACTGAGAAGTTCTACTGTATTTTGTTGGTCACTTTAGACAGACAAACAGGTCAATAGTTGCCATACTTAGTTAAGCTATCTTTCTTTTGTATTGGTCCTACGATATTGTATTCTTAGTCCTTCAGAATAACCTTAGGACCCTATATCTTCTGAAAAAGTGTTTGCAATATTTTATCATTTTGTTTCCTCTGTATTTAATAAACTCCGGTACAAAACTGTCATTGTCTGCAGCTTTGCCAAGCTATAGCTTTTCCAAGGTCCTTATCATATTTTCCTCCTAGATCATATCATATTCAGCCACTTGAATGGTGGCTGACTTGTGTTATTGAGGTTGTCTGACGTCAGAGAACTGCAAAGAGTAATTTATAATAATTTATAATACTATTTTTTTAATTACTATTTATCTCATGTTATTTTTATTTATGAGTAATTTATTTAATTTATTTTTATTTTTATTTATGAGTATTGTATGTATGAGTAATTGTGTAGTAGTTAAGAATTAATAGGAAGCAACCTCCTATTCATGCTAGGAAATATAATGTGTTCAAGCTTAACGAATAAGGAACAAAAACCCTTTTGAAACACACTTGAACATATTCAATAGAAACCTCAAGGAGTCTTGAGATGCTACAAGCATCACAAAATGGAAAATATTGAGTTTATTATATTTCATAGTAGATCATATCATTCATTCTATCATATCATAACAGATCTAAGGAAGGGAACCATACAATTCCATAATGCGATAAAGAGTGTTTTAAAAGGAAGCCTATCTGACAATAATCCAACACAAGACAAGAGATGCAATATCATTGAATGATGAATCTACTGAAGAATTGTTGAAAATCACCAACATAAGAAAAAGATCTGTATAATAATGTTTGTCTTCAAGAGCTCTAATTTCTGAAGCACGAGAATTAGTTTAGAAAATTGTGGTTATATCTAATTACTCATAGATTATTACAAAATTGTGAGAGATAGGCAAATAAAAATGGGTAAGCCACATTTCTATTCATGAAATTGTCTTTAATTCCATAGTTTGCTTTGCTAGTGTATGTTATTTCACTTCAAGTAAGTAAATTATTTCTTGCATTTGTTTTTAGAAATATTTCTAACTTTTGAGATTGAATTTTCAAGTGATATTATTTCATTTAGTATTTGCTTCTTTTTTTTTTTTTTAATTTCCCCTTACATTTTGGATTTTATCTAATAATAATTAATAACATGTTTATTTTGATTATATTGGTGTTTTAGGGATCTTAAAAATTTACTACTTGTTTTTTTTATTGAAAGTTTTCATTCTGGCGTGATTTATAGTTCTATATAAAATAATTATTTTAGATTTTATTATTTAACTGGTGGTAACCTGAAAATAGTTCACTTGTACATTTTATTTTGTTTTGTAAGATTTTTCAAAATTACGAATTGGAATGCTTGAGCAGCATTATACAGAAAATAACAACTGAAAAAATTAAAAAACTGTACTTAATACACCAATCAAACAAAAACAGACTATTATACAATTCGTAGAAGCCAACCAAGCTCTATCCACCACAATATTGCATCATATCGAACTCGATAACTGTGTGTATCCAGTGAATGATGTTTGTGTTTAAACCCCACAATTATCTAACTTACCAATAGGTCACTATTGCCATCTGTTTTGTTTATGTCATAGGAGACCTCTTGGATTTTAGTTTGGTATCCAAATTATTAAAAAAATTAATATTTTGACTTAATTTGGGGTGAATATTGAAGTATGATTATTATTATTATTATATGGTCTTAAGGGCATCTGTCTGCCATCTCTTGGTAAAAAGGGATAAAGTTGGATCTCTTGGTAAATTTGGATTTACTGATAAACACACTTTAGATTCTAAATGACAATTTTAGCTACTCATGGTTCTTTAAAGTTACCATGTGGTTTTGAAACTGTCTGTAATGTATTGGACTGAGTCCAATGGTCTTAGAAGAATAACTCTAGTAGGCGCAGGAGATTTGTTAACTTGTATGACCACCTCATCCCTTAGTACAACTTAAGGTACTTTTTTTCTAGTGGGCCGGCAAGAAACCTCACTTCTTATCTATCTTATCTAACGTCACATCACATAATCTCCCTCTTCTTATCCCGCCATACCTTTGAGTTATTGCATTGTTTAGTTTTCAGTTATTCCCTTATTACGTTCACTTATTAAATTCTTTACTTTTGGCCCATTTGTGTTTATTTTTCAATATTTTTAGTTTTTGGCCCATTTGTGTTTATTTTTCATTTTTTTTTAGTTTGTGGCCCCTTTGTGTTTATTTTTCATTTTTTTTTCCTTTTATTTTCGTCATATTATGGATCTTCTTAGAATATGGGATTTGCATGTGAGGAGAGTTTTACCTCAGCAATGGATATTTGGTGGAGTTTGCCGAGAAACAGATGAATGTTTTATCGTCAAAATAAATGACAGAAAAGCAACAACCTTATTGCAAGCAATTAAAAACAATATAGAAGAGGGAACGACCATTTATTCGGACTGTTGGAAAGGATACAACACCCGACAACTGAACGAAGCAAACTATGACCATTTCCAAGTGAATCACGGGTATAATTTTGTCGATCCATCAAATGGGGTTCATACTCAACACATAGAACGATTATGGGGCTCAGCCAAGTGGAGAAATAAAGTACATAGAGGAACTGCCAGACAACACCCCTGTAATGTAGCCTCTTCATTCCTATCTATCTAAAAAATCATAATACCTTGGACCCCGATTCATATTTGTGCAAATTTTTGTGGCGGCGGGTCCACAGAGAAGAGGACCCGTTCCTCGCTATTTTAAATAGCATAAAACAATTTTGCCTTCCAAAATAAATAACACAAAGTGAAAATAAATTGTACATATGTTGTTTATAGTGTTGATATTTTTTCTTTTCTATATAAATATGTTCTTTAAATGTTTTTTTATTATTTCATTTTGATGTTTTATATTTATATATCTTCTTAAAGTGCTTTTTTATTATTTCATTAATATATGTGTCGTCAAATAAAAGTATTTTTTTTGTTATTACATTTGTTTTTGTATCTGTTTACACTTTCAATAATACAAATTTAATACAATAATACGAAGATATGAAGTAGGAGAAGGCTTATCAATGCGTTATGGGAATTATCAGTGTTCAGGTTATAAACATTGGCAGATAGCAGTCGGTGCCGGCCCAGACAAACTGGGACAGACCATCTAGACAAAAAGTACCCAACTTAGTAAATTAATATAACCAAAAAAGTGATCTCCTGTAATATCTCAGGATGAAATGTCATTTTTCATTCTTCTTCTGTTAGCATAACACCCTCAAATGGACTCAGTCAACATTGGGGAAAGGGGAAACCGGTGGCTGTTGTGAATAATGAGCTATGTTCCTTCGGTTGCTAACCAGGTCAGGCATGCAACTCTCACTGATAATGCTAATGATGTGCTTTACTAATCTAGGTACTTGTCCATTAGCAGGACGGACGGACTGCTATCTGCCAATGTTTATAACCTGAACACTGATAATTCTGATAAGCCTTCTCGTAATTCCTATCTTCATATTCATATTTATTGTATTATATTCGTATTATTGAAATTGTAAACAAAAACAAATGTAATAATAAAAAATACTTTTATTTTACGACATATATATTATATTTATATATATATGATAAATATATATATGTAGAAAATATGATAATTCCCACAACAATCAGAAAACACTTTAATTTTACATATATAAGGCATGAAATGGAAAAAAATAAATTTAATAATAAAAGAAATGAAATAATACAAAAACACTTTAACAATATATGTACATATAAAAGATGAAAAAGAAATAATAACACTCATTTGATGACCTTCACACGATTTCACGTTTCCAATTATCCCAAAATTTTGAAAATATTCAATAGCTGTTCTTCTGAATACTGTAACTCCCAGAATGTAACAAGATCCATAATTTGACAAAAATAATATAAACAGGCCAAAAATAAAGAATTTAATAAGTGAATAACTGAATGTAATAACTGAAAAATAAACAATGTAATAACTGAAAGGTTTGACAAGATAAGAAGAGGGAGGTTATGTGACATAACATTAGATAACATAGATGACAAGGGAGATTTCGTCCCGCCCGGCTAATGGACAAGTACCCTAATCTATAAGTTGTTATCAGTCATTTTTTCAGTTTATTTGGTGATATTTAAAATATAAATTATACTTACTTTTTAAAAACCATAATTTTATCTAGATATATTGATTTCACAATCATTATTTCCATAATCAATTATTTTTTACAGGAATAGTATTTATTTAGTACTAAAAGAATTCTTTTTCAGTTTGTGAATGGTCCATGTCTACAAGTACTTGGTTATACTCGTGATGAAATTACTGGAAAAGATTTGACAACCTTTCAGGATATTACTCCTTTCTTAAGACAACTTGAAAGAGGCTTTGAATGGATTGGTAAGATAAGATGGCGAACTAAATCAGGGGACACTCTTACTCTTCAATGTCATGCCATTCCATTTAGCCCTGGACCAGGGTAAGCAAATGATTTCTATAACAATTATAACTACACACTGACACACACACAGACATACATGCATGTATAGATTCACAAAACTGGAAGACCACCCACCTTTCATTTAAACCTCACCCCTTAATCATTAAACCTCATCAATATTCATTAAAACCTGTGTAATGTGCTAAGAGTTTCAATTTTGAAATTATTATCGTTTTTGTATTTAAAAATGGGTTAAAAAAAAGAATTTTCTGTTGAACTTGGTAGTACAATTTACACTCTACACCAAGCAAAAAAATCTGAGTGCCAAATCGCTACAGAACTAAATATTTCAAAAACTGGGGTGCATAATACATTTCTCACTATAAAGAGACATTCTCTCACTATCCTTGAGTCCAAGTGAGTCAGTGCGAAGGACACTGCCAGATTGGTCCCAAAGGGATCAGCTATGGAGCTATGGGTGGCCTGCTGCTACACCATTGAGACCATGGTATAGAGCTGGGGCCTCTAAAGTTTTTTGCCCCTTGGGCAACATTGAGACCTCCAATAAGTCCTGCGGGCCACGGATTATGATGAAAAAAAAAGTTTGTTCTATAAGTAACACTTCACTTGTGATATAAGCTTTCTAAGAGAAACAACTCATGCAATAAATGTTGCAGTAACCTCATATTTGAGTGATTTACTAAATATTATATTTTTAAATAGTTTTTAAAATTTTATCATGTAATCAAAGAAGCTTTTGCGGCGCCGGATGGGAGGTGATTTTGGGCTGGATCCAGCCTGCATGCCATAGTTTGGAGTCCCCTGGTCTAGAGCAACGTGATTTTGGGTGATCCTCCCCTCCAGACTATCTGCGCTCCCACAAGCTATATACATCTATAAGAGAACCACATCACATGGCCAAAGATTTACATGGTCTAGTACCAACCAAAAAAAAACACACAAATACATATTTAATGCTCTTCAATCTTGAGGAGAATCAATTTCTGAAGTATGAAAAGACATTGTAAAAGTGTTCATAGACCATTTAAATCAGTTATTTAATGCTAAGTTTACCATCAATATTATTATTGATTATTTTTCCTGTAATCTTTATCTTGAGAAGTCTTTAATTAAAGCCACTTACAACATTATTTTTTCTCAGGTTACGTAACCATTATTTATATCTTCAAGACAACCCACTAGAAACTCATGTTTATCCCCGAGGTAGCCTTCCCTCAATAAGGAAAGGATCTTATGATCTAAAATCTATAATAAGTGAAGGTAATAAGGTTTCTAATACAGTATATTCATTATTTATGGTGTGAAAGATTTATTGGATTGTTTAAACTCCGTACATTCATGGAAATGTTTAGTTCATTCATTAAAAAAATTATTTAGGATCTAAATTTTGTTATGCAGAAAGTGTAAATGCATAACTCTTTAGGAAGTTAATTGACTCAGATGAATTTAAATCCGTATCATGTTTCTATTGTTATAACAATATTGATGTTTAAGCATTACCAATATTTCTAGGCAATTACTTAGGAATACTGTAATAAGTACAATAGTTTTACAATAATGCTGAATTGTTATATATTTTAAGAAAATAAAATAATTCAAAGAGTTCTATTGATTTTACTTATTTATGGTGTCATAAAAATATCTTTTTTTCATATAATTAAAGAGAACCAGAAAGCATGGCCGCTTCAAATGGATAGTTATCACTCCCTATCCTACAGGATAACCAGAATTTTAGCAACTGGAAATTCCGACTTGAGCTAATTTTGGAAGAGAAGCAATTAATGGAAATGGTTGAAGAAATACAGAAGTCCCTTCTGATGAACAAAGGAAAAGAAAAAGGGATTTCTACGAAAAGATGCAAAAGCTAAGTCTGTGATAGTGCAGTGTGTCTCAGACAAATATCTCGACCTAGTAAAAGATTCAGCTTGTGATAAAGACATGATAAGAGCTTTAGAAGCTGTATTTGAGAGAAAAAGCATATTCAGTAAACTTTATTTAAAGAAAAGACCTCTGTCCCTAAAATATAAACCTAATGAAAAACTACATCACTTTCTGAATTTGACGGAGTAATTAGAGAATTAGAAAATGCCGGATCATAATGTTGAAAATTGAATTTTTTCAGCAGCCATATTGCTGATAACTAGTTGCCTTCTGATTAATTTTCGACACCCCTCTTAGCCCTAGTTTTCAGCCAGGATATCTTGATTTCAGCTATCCAAAAACCAGTTTGTAGTTCTATTTTATCATTTATAATAATTTTATTTACTTATTTTAAGAGGATTTTTTAGTCAGTTTGTGAATATTATTGCCTACTTAACTAGTAAAAAAAAAAAAAAAAAAATATATATATATATATATATATATATATATTCTACTTTAAAGATGAATTCAGAATGGAGGAGAGGGGATATGCAACAGACAAAAATAAAAAAAACTAACTAATGTTATGGTTAAAAGCTGCTATAAAGCTAAATAATCAAAATATTTTAAGACCTACAGTATTATGTAACAAGTTATCCAACGCATCAGAAGTGTCTTTTTGAGCATAAATGGTGCCATCAAGTTCTTTGGTATTCCTATAAGGTTCTCCAATATTCAATGGAAAATTGTTTCACAAACAAACAAAATAGGCTCCTTATTCTTCACTGTGAAAGAAGAAAGTAGGTTTCTGGAAGGAAGATTAGATCTGTTCAAAAGTGCAGAGGAGTTTGTAAAAGCTTTGAAATATAGCTTTCACAGGTAGAGCATCTGATAAATCTTGGCTGAAGGGATTTTCATTTCGCAATCCTACTTAACTGAACATCTGAAGCCATCACTGTTTCCATGTCTTCTACAAGCAGAATATTGAGATAAAACTATTGAAGCTATATTGAGATAAAAAAATTGCAATTTTTTTTCTGTTGGGAAAGAAATAACAAAAAAATTTAAGGTGTGACAGTTTTTATGACCACCAGTGAATTTGTAATATTCAAATGAAAACAACTAATGATTCAACCCTGTATATTTTACCTGTTTCGGGATCGGCGTAGATCCTAGCTAAGCTTTCTATACCCACCTTCATATGTAGTAAACATTTCTCCACAATACCTTTAAGTTCTTTCATTCTGAAGAATGGCAGAAACTGGTAATTTTGGATTGTGAAAATTTCATAGTTGTCAAAAACTAGTACTTCAGGGTGCTGAAAACTGCCACATGCAGATGTTTTAATCTTTTCTATAAAACAATAAATAAAAGATAATGTTACACACATATAATTTAAAATTAGAGACCTTTGCAGACTTAATAGAATCAAATTTGCTAACCCAAATACCCGAAACTAGACAAAAACTTTTAAAGTATCCGTAAATGTGCCAAAAACTGGAGTGCCTATATAATTTTGTTTGTTTCATTTTAACACACGTCTATTCAATAAGGTTTTACTGATCACTCCAGAAGTATTCACTAATTATAATCATTAGTATAGAAATAATTTCACGAACACTTATATATAGTTTTAAAAAAATATTTGTCTAGAGAATTTATGAGAGTTAGAATCATGATGAAAGGAATGTAAATTGATCTAAGTAATAATAAGACAATGAGAAAAATGGCCAAAGACAGAACTGAACCATAACAAATTTAATTACAACTTAATACCATAACAAATTAACAAACTTGAAGACAAATTGACATTATTTATCTATATTATTGACTTGACTTTAAGTAAAGTAATATTAGATTAAAGGAACAAAACATCTATTGAGAAGGAAAGGACAAAATTTGATTTTTTTTCTTAGTTTTGATGTACTGAGCCAACTAAGTTCTTTGTTTTGTTTTTGATTTTTGTTGTATATTTATCATAACTGTTTTATTTTGTTAAATTTTTATTATTCAATCATTTAAATTAAATAACTTTATAATTAATTAGAATTGTTATTTTGATTATATATATATATATATATATATATATATATATAATATATATATATATATATATACTTTCATATGGAATATATTGTGATTAGAACAAATGGTGTCAATGCTATGCCCTGTAGAACAAATGTTTTTGCTTCAATACAAATTCATTTGTTCTACAGGGCATATCATTGACACCATTTGTTCTAATATATATATATATATATATATATATATATATATATATATATATAATATATATATATATATATATGTATATATATTATATATTTTAAAATTATTTAATTGGGAATAAGGTCACTTGATAATTATTCAATAAACTACTAAATGTTCATTGCTTCTCTGTCAATAAACATTTAGTAGTTTATTGACTAATTATTAAGTAACCTTATTGTTAATTAAATAACTATTTTAAAATATAATACTCAAAGGTCGATTAAAGAAATTTTGTATATATATATATATATATATATATATATATATATATATATATATATATATACAATTTATCATAAAAAAATATTTGTGAAAAATTATCCACATAAATATATTTTCTTCTATAGGTTCAGCAAGAAGGCAGAGTCTGGCTAAGTTGTACAATCTTCCTTTAGAAGCACCTATCACTAAGGTTTTATCTCTATTGTGTGCTGCACAAGAAAATGCTGCTCAACCTGTTGTACAAATGCTTGAACAAGTATGTTAGGTTCAAATCCAATAATGGGATTTCAAAATATTTATAAATTATTGTTATTTTTTAATAAAATCAAAATTATATTTTTATTTTATTTATTATATTTTAAAACAATATTTGATGACTTCTATTACCAAAATACATTTTTGGTGTCTGAAAACTTGTTCTAAAAGAGTTATATTTATCAGAAAGACCTGCAAAAATAATAATAAATAAAAGTATGCATTCAATTACAGAAGCTGAGACATTAATGTTTATTAAATGCACCTTTTGAACTTTTATAAGTGATGATCTGTTATGCTAATATAAACAGACATTTAACTAACAAATGAAACATTACAAATTTTTTTATTGTATTTCTTTATGTAATATTTTAATTTTTTCCTCATCAGTTAGGGGTCTCCAAACTTCTTGGCCTGTAGGTCACATTTACACCTTCAATATATGTACTAAATATCAATGTTACCAATATAGGGTTATAAAAAGATTGTTTTGTTTTTTATTTCCTGTAATAAATTTTTTAGAAACTTTTTAACATTAATTTGCTCTTAAAGAATCTCTACTGTGTTATGGTCTTATAATTAATATTAAGAATTAAAGATTCTGTTCAATCTAGGTAATGGATATATTGCGTACCACTGAGCTGTACACTTCACATCTAAAAGCTGATAATTTGAGAGCAGAAGACCCTGTAACAACAAATCTTATTGCTGCATTAGTATCGGTAGGTCCTTTCACAGATTAACTTTTAATTTTGGTTTTTTTAACTTTGCATAATATTATCTACTAGTTTATATATATATATATATATATATATATATATATATTAATAATGTTCATAATTTTAACTTCTGGTGCATTAATAGTTCTGCTATGATTGGATCATTAAAATCAGTAATACAGCCTGGTTACTTTTGAACAGTACTCCATATTGACATTAACTGAATCAATTTAAAATTATCTTACTTATTATCCTGTTTTTATGCACCACTTAAAAACTAAATAAAGAGGCTAAAATTAATAATTAAGTTATTTTTAATCTTATATATGGCTTTATATTGTGTATTCTATTTTTATCTCTCTATTATTTTTTTTTTCTGAATTCTGTGATTGTATTTTATTTTATTTTTCCAAAAAATTAGAGAATTTCTCCTAAAATTACTGTATTTTTAAAGGTATAAATTAGCTTAACTTGTTTTTAGAAGTTAATTTGTGAGTCCCTTGTGTATTTTTACATTCCTAAAATTGTCACTATTTTAATTTGTTTCAGCACTAAGTGTGAAGTTACAGAACACAATGTCATTTTAATATCTCAGTAAGTTATTAATTGAGAAACTATAGTTAAAATATAGTTTAATTTAAGATGATCCGAACTTACCTCTTACCAGAAAAAAACTCTTCTCCATCTCGTCAATTCATTCTTACAACGGTTTTTATTTTCATTTAAATTATGTTTAAAATGTGTAATAATGGGTGAGTACATACATTAGGCAATTATATTAAAGCAATAATTTCATCCAACTAATATGTTATTAATATTCTAACGAATGATAACATTTCAGAAGCATTAATGAAACAAAACTAGAAGTGTTAAAACCAACAATTAAGCATTTATGTTTTTATTATTAAGTTACAGTAATCCTAACCATAATAAAATTTTTTTTTTTGTGTGTTTTAAGAAATATTTTAGTACTAGCATGATCTGCATCACTTCAGTTCTATCTCACATTACATTAAAAATAAGTAATGATCTTCACCTAAAAAGAAAAAAAAAAACATATAAATAATTCTATTGTAGTTAGTGTTATTTTATGAAATTGTAACCAGAAACAGTTTTAAACATCAGTTTTGTTGAAATGACATAGAATAAGTGTTGCCAATTCAACGTTAGTTTTATAATTCATTAATGACACAATGATCTGTACTGAAATGTAAGACAGCCAAGAATTTGTTCGTAATTTGATTTTTTTTTTTTAATATTTAGAATTTTTAAATGTAATTTTAAATTAAAAGTTTCGCGATTCTGTATAACTTGTGGATGATTAATGGCATTGTTATGAATTTGCATTTTTATTAATATAAATAACTGATTAAAGGAATAGTTGGTCAGGGAGTGCAGTCAACAATTACCTACTATTTGTTTGTAATATTTATATATTGCCTAGGTTTCGACCTACGTTGTAGGTCTTCCTCAAGGATTGGTCCAACAATGAGTCTGAAGGGCTCTGGAATTGTTGGCTATAAAGAAACATTACACTAAAATAGTGTGTGATTGTTGGCTGCACCCATCTAACAACCAACTATTCCTTAAATTAGAACTACAGTCAATCATTTCCATGCCATTATAGATAACTGCTTGATTAATAACATTAATTTGTTTCAAATAAATCATTAGAACCAAATTTTGAATTGATGGGTACTTTATGAAAAAATATTAAAACCTTTTTTTTTTTAAATTAACCTTCTTAAGGTAAAACTTAAAGGGAGGGAACCAAGGTATTTGAGTTAAAATTATCATTTTCACATAAAGAGTATATTTTCTTTCCGCTTATATATTTATTTATTTATTTTTATTTTATTTTTATTTTTGTTTTTTGCCTAGCGGGAAAAGTTGGCAGAATGCGGTATTTCAAGTGATTTGCAGCAAGTTTTGGTGAGACAGAATTGGCAACACTGGCTAGTTATTTCCTGAACTGGTATGTTAGAAATGTGTTGTGTTATGTAAACAATTTAGTGGTGTTATTGAAATATTTGTCTGTGTGTATATTTAAATTTTTTTCCGGTTAATACATGTGATGTGGAAATGATGATTTTTGTTATTGGTTTCATAAATATGTGGTGAAAAATTTTAATTAATATAATCTATCACTTATATAATAACCAACAAAGATAATTTTAACATTTAATCCTGCATAAATTAGCCTTACAATTTACACACTCTGTTCATCTCTCTCTACCTCTTTCTCAAGGAAATTATTATGGAAAAAGTAAAATATTGAAGAACAATTATTCTGAGGCATGGTAACACTGATGCTCAGATTGTGCCATTTATTTCAGAAAGCATAGTGTAGATGTTCAGTATTACCTGGATGAATCCCATCAATCCCATTCTATGGGTGCTGGAGAAGTGGTTAACTTTCTTGCTCTTGACTTATAAATAGGTCGATAACCTTATCTCTGATTGAAGCCTTCGATGTGCTTTGGAATCCTAAGAAGGTGATATCTAATGCAGCTGAAGAGAATAGATTCTTTAATTTAAAGATTAAAAAAATTGGAGGCCACTAATATCTACTTTCAAGTCTTAAATCCATCCATACTCCAGTATAAGTTCCTTGGTATGTGGCAATGAGTAGATATTAAGTCTATTGATAGAAATTCTAAGCCCAAAACAACCTTTCAATATGAGTCAATTGTGCAGTACATTTTATCGAAAATCTTAGAGATTGTTCGGGGAATTAGAGGAAATTTCTTGAATATAATAGTGTTATATCTCTATATTATCCAGATTTTAGACTTGGTTGGAACACATGCACAGTACTCCACACAATTCTGACATATTTGTGAAGGGTGATGGGCGAAGATTTCTGTCTTTGTTTCCATATGTCTTTGTTTATTCAATTGACCATTTGTATGTCAATTCAGTTGATTGCCATTTGTTCCTGAAGTAATTTGGAAGCTTCAGTGGACCACTGTTGCAACTTGATATATATATATATATATATATATATATATATATATATATATATATATATATATATATTTACAACTTTTCCTTAATCAACCTTTGAGTGTTAAATTTAAACTTAACTATTTAATTGGGAATAAGGTCACTTAATTATTATTTAATAAACTATTGAATGTTCATTTCTTCTGTTTATTGACGTTTCGATCCCGGTATCCCCTTTTTACCAGTCAACCATGGGATCCTCCTCAAAGCTAGAATTTTAAAAAATAGAGCTTCGATCAGGCCAGGGACACACCGACAGTCTCAGAACCGTTCACCGTTAAGCTACTCCACCAGAACCGTCCACCAGCACATATATTAAGCTACTGAGTAGCTTAACGGTGAACGGTTCTGAGACTGTCGGTGTGTCCCTGGCCTGATCGAAGCTCTATTTTTTAAAATTCTAGCTTTGAGGAGGATCCCATGGTTGACTGGTAAAACGAGGATCTCTCTCTCTCTCTCTCTCTCTCTCTCTCTCTCTCTCTCTCTCTCTCTCTCTCTCTCTCTCTCTCTCTCTCTCTCTCTCTCTCTCTCTCTCTCTCTCTCTCTCTCTCTCTCTCTCTCTCTCTCTCTCTCTCTCTCACTCACTCACTCACTCACTCACTCACTCACTCACTCACTCACTCACTCACTCACTCACTCCCACATGTAACATTAAAAAAACTTAATCTCTAATTTTAATATTTTATAAACTAAAGTTTATTACTAAGCACATTTCGATATTTAACTCATTTGAATTTTACCTTCTACCACCTTAAATAGTTAAACTGAAAAAGATCTTACATTAACTGAAGTGAGCAGAACATATTTGTATGTACTCAAAACTATTGGGTCGAAATTGTCCAGAATAATCATCACGTTTAAATATTGATGCCCTTGAGATTTCATTAAGAGTATCTTACATTTTCATGGTAAATATTTAATTATCTTCCAGGAATTCAATTTATCTTTTTTACTTTAGCTTTATATTTTGACAAATCTGTGTCCTGTAACTTTGCAATTTTAGCAGTTAGGGAACTTAAATTAAATAAACCATAAAATTGGTGAATGATAGTGAAGAAATAGGCATCAAAATAATTATTGTACAACAAAACATATTGTTAATCATTAACCAATGAAAAGTTTGGTGGTATAGATATAAGGAGGAATAGTTTTGAATATAAGTTTAAATAAATGTGGTTTAACTACCTAATATTCAATTAAATATTATTTCCTAGATTATTTTCAATTTCAATAGGAAACAGAAAATTTAATGACGGAAAATGCTTGTTATTTTTCTGTCATAAATAAAATTACTTAATTCATGTCACATATCCAGGAACCTGATAATATGAATTCACATGACTATTATAGCCCTACTGTTCTTAATATGTCCACTGACATTCATAGAACAAAATTACAAGGTTATTAACTTAATATGTTGAATAAAACAGAATATTTAGCTTTGAAGAAAGATTTGTTTTTTGAAGAATTTATGTTATACTAAATTTTTAAAGCAACTGTTTGGTTGGCCCAGAAATACCCCAAACTACATAGTCCGCCTTGAAATGGGAAGAGAACCATTAAGAATGAAAGTAATAAAAAAGATGATAAATCTATGGACCAAGCTTGAGCTCATGCCAGAAGAGCGACTCCCAAAACTTTGTTTTAATAGACTTAAAACATTAGATAAGGATAAGCCTGACATAGACTTCAATTGGGTGTCTCAATTTAGAACAATAGCCGAGCTTAATGCCTTTGCAGAGAGCTTTCTGTTCACCCCACAAACGGACTTCTTCGACACAAAGACGATATCCTTGAAAAAGCACACAACTATTATTTCTCAGCCGACATACAAAGAACCTTAAACTCCATGAACTACCCTTTATACAGAATGCTATGCAGTTACAATGCTCCCGATCCTGAAATGTACATTACATTCAAAGTCCACATAATGAAATTGAGATGTGTTAGTCAATTAAGAGTTGCAAACCCAGAACATATCAGAGTCAATTCAAAAA